CAGAATACACGTTGAAAAAGCACCGTGCAAGTGTAGCGTCAGCACGTGCTCAGCCACCGCGGACTCATCTATGACCGCCAGTGAATCCCCTCTATTAGCGGTGAGATGCTTTGGTGGCGCCTTCCCGTGGCTCCCTCTCGTGACGTCATTATCTTGCGAACCACAAATTTGATGGTGTTTGTAATTAGCATGGTGGAAGCCTGAAATCATTGCGTTCTAAAACAAACACTGCCAACACCATCAAAATTGAAGTTCTTACATTACTCTTATTTCAGTCGATGAGAAATCTTTGCTGACGTCATAGGCAGTATTAGGTCAATCGTGAAAGGTCGACCACAGCGACGCGTTCGATCGAGCACGACACCAACAGCGTTGGGAACAAGCCGAACATTCAGTAAGTTCGCCTACAAAGACTGCAAAACCTAGCAACGGCCAAGTCAGAGGAAGACGTCCTGGGTCTACGGAAAATTCGCATCACATCCAGATAGAAATTTGCGGCTTATGTTCCTTGAACGTTTCGAGTACGATGTAGGCGACTATGATGGTGAACTGGACATACACCTGACCAGTCTTCTGACCGACATCGTGTTGAAGGACCGTCGACTCAACAGCTATGAAAGACAAGTTAGAGCTCCCGCCAGAAGCGCTGGCAGGACTGACAATTGAGCATCCTTGAACATCGGCTTTCAATTGTCAACGAGGTCGGAGAGGAGCTGGCAAACCACTTGCAATTTCTACGCGTGTAAATCGAGAGCCGGAAATTATCAGCGCTGCCTGGCGGAAGACCAGCGCCCTTAACGACACTGGTTCACAATCCAAGGCAAGCCCTTTATTCACCATTATCGCTAGTGCTGCACACCACCAAGATAGGCAACATGTGTCTATTTTTTAAAGAGCAAAGTCACAGTATCGCCACTCTCAATTACGAGGTACCATTGTACGGGAGGGTACGCAGGAAGAAGAGGGGAGGGTACAGAGGACTAACTAGGAGGGGAGGGTACGGAGAAGGGTAGGGTACAAAGGACTAAGAGGGGAGGGTACGGAGAAGGGGACGGTACGGAGGAGGAGGGGAGGGTATAGTGAAGGGGAGGGTACGGAAGAGAAGGGGAGGAGGAGGAGGAGGTGAAGGGAACCCTTCTCCTACTTCTCCCCTCTTCTTTCTCATCTATAACCTCCCCTGCTCCTCCCTTCCTTCCCCTCCTCCTTTATACCCTCCCCTTCTCCTCCGTAATTTCCCCTCCTTCTTCGTACCTTCCCCTCCTCCTCCTGCGTACCCTCCCGTGACAACATATAAAAAAATCAAAATATATCAAGAGCTGCACTCTAATTCCGCATTACAGGAAGTTGTAAACGTCTTTATTTTTTTTTTTTTTTTAAGAACCGTTTGTGTTGATTACTCTGTTTTCCAGCAAATGGGTACAGCTCCCTTCTTGAGCCACAATTACGTCTCAAAAAATTAGGCTTCTGGGCCAGTTTGTCAACATTTCAGGCTTTTTTTTTTTTTTTTTTGCACTGAGGAGTTTATGAAAAGCTTCCCACACTAAACACTTTTACAGCATTAAGGCTGTCAATCCGCTTGTCCCAGAGCTAAAACCTTAAGAGTATTACAACAAGACACTTAAGACGCTGGTGAACACTCAGAATACAATGCTGGCTATTTTAGCAGCACTTTAAAGATATTTTAGGAGGGACACATTTACAACAGCAAGCAGTACATGCTGATTTTACATGCGAAATGACAGCAAAGAAAGACGGAATAAACAACGGAATACATTGGTATAGCGACTCCTTCGTTTGCTCCACCGCTTTATGCATACGACAACTCAAAGACATTCATTCGCAGGTGACCTTCGCGCCATTACGAAGGTTACTGGTATGCTTCTTTGTTGTAGTCAATATGTCCCTCAAGGCATAATACATCTAAGATGTATCCTTTAGCAAAAATCATTGGGGCAGGCAATAATTATTCCATGTAATCGCTAAAACGAACGGTTTGCAGCGGGAGTCAGTACAGCAAACACCTTTTCAAACTGAAGGACAGAGGCACTTCACCGTAGCCTCCATATCACACCCATCTGAACATTTTAGAAGTGAATGGTGCTCCACGCAACAACCTCCTGTTTTGCGATTACAAAGGGTCTACTACTCACGTTAAAGGTGCTGAAAGTGTGTACCCATGGGTGTATATCTCTGAAACTCTCTTTTTATACTTTTAAAAGTGTGAACGTTCTTGCTGTGATGAATAATATAAAGCCCGATATTCTTGTAAGGAACTGAATACTTGTTAGGTAATATAGCGTATCCCCCCAAAAAAATTGTGCTGGAAAAATGAGATGAAATAAAGTACGCATCGCCGAACTCCTAATCTCAATTCATATGCCAAGTTTTAAAACGAACCATTATATTAGTAAAAAGTTATAAGCGATTTGAGGAAACTTTCTATTGAAAAATGGAGTTATGTATTTGTAAGATTTGTGGGCCACCATTTTACTATTGAACATGTTTAGAAAATCACATAACTTTTGAATAAGATAAAAGTTCGTTCTAAAACTTGAGCATCTCGGTCGGACGGTATTGCGCTACATTTGGGGGAATGCTGAGCGTTGGACGACGTGTATTTTCTATTTTTTTTTCGCAATTAAAATTATTGAAATTATTGTAGACATATTTTTTGAGGGGTGGAGGGAGGGTGGGGGCACCTTTAGACATCTGGATGAATTCTATAGGGGAGTAGCTGTCAAGGTTGAAGCAGCAAGTGACGAGTAAAATAGGTTATTTTTAGGTCGTGTTTCGTTTGTGCGTCACTTCGCTCGTGTACGTTGATCTCAATTAATAAAATAAAATAAAAACTGAAAAGAAATTACTACAGAATTTCAATAGGATCCTGAAGACTCAAGTTTCATTGTCGTTTTGTTTATTACAAAAAAGTTTAGTTATTTTAAACGCCATGTTCGAGCTCAAGGACAGAAGCTGCCCGATACGCAAAAGGGGGCCCAAGGACCACTCCTTATGTCAGCATTTAATAGTCACGTCTCACAAAAGCTAGCGGAGGCTAAAGCGCCTCTTTTGTGATCACGTCTTGCGAACGCTGCAGCGCCCCCTTGACGAGATAAAGATGTACGTCGTTGTGGCATCGCGGTGATGAGGACGAACGCTCCAAGTCCCACTCTGAGAAAATTGACAGGCAGGTCGACGGGGCTTGCAAAACAAATTAGTTGTTTGTCGTTTAAACAGTGACAGGTTAGTCTGCCAGAGTAGGACGTCGCTTTCACCCATTGTAGATGAGACATTTAGCTGGTGCAGCACGACTGCTAACCTGGGGTTTTTAACTTGCACCACACTCAGTGCTTATACATGACCGTTCTAGATACGGTGATCATCCCGATTAAAACGGGCAGGAATGGGGTTGAACCCAGTATACATCAATGTTGCAGCGGAAGTTTTCGCTCCACTTGCTCCGAATTGTGGTACGTTCACACACTCGGACACCGATCCCCCAACCGAGCATGCATATAACACTAGGTGTCAAATATTTCAGGTTACACAAAAAGCAGACGACGACGAAGTTCGTTTTATCTCCTCCACTTTTCTGATGGGCGTATCAACAGATATATTTCTGTGCTCGTGGGGAACATGACCAATTGTCAGAAGCTGCGCGCTTAATGTGCGAGCAGTTATAGATTTTATTATGAGAGAGTGCATAGAAATAATTCCAATAATAATAACAATTGAGAACGTCGTTTCTACACAAGCAACAGGTCTTGTTGTGTTCGTTGAATACCTATGCTGCCCTTTACTATGAACCAAAATGACGTCCAACTAGAACAACCTCAAAAACTCTGGTTTTGGAACAGAAAAGGAAGGAAGGGGCAGGCGAAGGGACAGAGGTGGGGTGCAGGGTGGAGGCGTTGGCTTCTAGACATTTTTATATAATGGCGGCACTCCCACATTTCCACAGCTCACCTTCACCTACTTCTTCCCCTCACTTCCCATACACTTCCGATATTATTGGTCATAAAGAAATAAGAATGCCTATCGAAATGGGTAATGTGAAAACTATATCTAATTTGCAACTGCGACAGTACCCCGGTTGGAAAGCCCCATTCCTAACTCAATGAGACATCTCCTCCGCAGAGCCATTTTACTTTACACTTTCCTGGTGCACCATACGACCAGATTTTTACTACTTTTCGGGTACTTTGTTTTTATAATGTATGTGTATTGTGTTTTTTTTACTTACTACTTTCTTAGTGCATTTCTTCTAAAAGTTTTGAATGGATGCTCCCGAAGTGTGCTAGAAGACAACGCCCATTGTGCTGCTTCTTTAACATTTAGTGCAAAACGTAAGCGTTATTTCTGCTGATTGCAGTGCCATGTACTCCCTTCAGATATTTGTCCAAGGGGAACCCCATTTTGTGGAGTCAATTCAAAAGCTAAGACTTTTTTTTACTTACAGCCTCTGCTGACTTCGTCTATTGGCAACATTTGCGCTGCTACGTAACCTTAATCCGAGGACGTGGTGTCATCATAGAGCCATACTTAATCGGCTGCTAATGAATGCGTGAGTGCTCGGCCCTGCCGTCCCCCTCCGCCGCCGGAAAGTCCATGTCAACCGTAGTGACCCTGAAGCAACAGTCCGTCAAGACAAATCTTCACAAAAGGCGTTGGTAGACGAGGTGAAAGAGAAAGCTCAGTTCAAGGCCTGGACCCGTCAGCTACATCGCTCGGCCAGCGTTTATTTCCGCAAGCAATAAAAGTCACATGCGCCCTCAAAGGAGTCCTTCGGCGAACAAAACAAAACTTGCTGTCCTTGTTGAATAAATCCCGAAAGATTCGCGCGTCTCCTGACGCCGCAGCCGCCGACACGATAGCAGCGCTTTCAACCAGGAAGTTGCACTGCTGGGGCTGGGAAAGTTTTTGCTTTTCCTCACTTCTAGTATTAAAGGGTGAGCGAAGAAGTCTACCGCGCAGTTCGCGATCGTCGAGCATTCACCGCCAGAATGGGATTTGGTAGAAGCCTGTTCTCCTGGTTCCTTCTGGGTGTCCTAGCGTCGTGGGTCTCGGCCGAACCGTCCTGCATTCAGGAGGATGGGTACAAGTACCGCCGCTACATCTGCAGGGGATTCGAGTCACCGGAAGACTTTAAGAGTCACGTCAAACTTGAACATTCTTCCAAGGAAACATGGTTTTTGCTTTTGGACAGCCACTTGAAACATATTTCACCGGAGTCCTTCGCAGGGCTTAACGTGTCCGTCTTAATTTGGAGCAACGTTACCGTCGACGGATTCGATCAGTCGTCGCCCGAAGCTAGTCCTTTCGCGGGACTTGAAAACTCGGTGAAGAAGATGGTATTCAGGCGTCAGAGTTCAGTTCCTTTAGACTGGTCCATGCTGAAAGACATGAACAAGCTCGAAGAACTTCATCTTCAAGGTTTCCTAGACCTTAACCTGACGAAGGATTTTGGCCAGCTGCCGCCGAGCCTAAAGGTGTTGTTCATTTTTGATGCGTCTATAAATCACGTGGATCCGGATTGGCTGGCATCGCTGACCAACCTCGAAGCCCTCATCGTTCGTGTCACGAACTTGAACACTCTCAAGAGGTCCATGCTTCCAAGGCCGGCTCCCAAACTCGCAACATTGGATCTCGCGTAAGTGCCACAACAATTCCTAAAAATATAAGAGAAAAAAAAACAAAAAACGCGATAACATTGAATTTATGTTTTTGAAAAGTATTCACACCTTGAAACAATACTTGTTAACACAATCTGGTCTTTTCGGACTAGCGTCTGGATAATTTTAGCCTACTCTAAATATTTTATGCTCGTAATTGTTAACAAAAAAGAAGAAACGTGTTTAAGTAGTTTTGTTGTTTCAACCAAATTATAGATAATCTGCGGTAATCATATTAATACAATACCAAGGCATGCCCGGCCACTGTCGTAGTAGGAATAGCACTAAAGAGTCTTTACGAATTTGTGTCAATTGTGTTACAAGCAATACGGCCATTTATAAATGCTTTAGGTGGGTATTCTATACTTTTTCAAGAATAGTCGTGAACTCACTAGATTGTAGAAATACCGTAAAATCCCGAAGACAGCTTCACCTTGGGACTTGCTTCTATATAAGGGAAATTTATGGCTAAAATTAACTTAAGATTTCACCGAAACACATTGCGAGTTAATTGAATACTATTCGTGTTTCTTTTCTTATGCTATCATGCTTATATACGGTCCTATTTTTTATAACCTGTACAAGTTGGTTGCAGCTGAATTGCCTTCGATTGCTTGCTTTAAAACTCGGTTGAAATAATCAAAAATGATATTTTCTAATCCACCCAAAGCAAAAATCGTGCTGAACAAGGGGATAGTAAATCTCAGAGAATAAAACATTTCTGTGGACAAAAGACAGACACTTACACCCTTCCAATTGAAATATTTGTAAGCGTTCGTTTCTTGCATCCTTGAATGCGTTATAATTTTACTTAATTTCCCTCGTTTAGGTACAAAGCTTTAAATAAAAGCGGCATTGCAGAAAACTCCTTGCGCTTAAAATCAGAGTTTGGCCAAACACATTTACGTATTCTCGTGTCTCTTAAAGTGGAATCATCGCCACTGTATGTCGCGTACCAATCCTGGTAACCAAGTACCGAACAAAACCAAGATTAATGAAGTTGTCCATTGCTCTAAATAAAGCCTAGAAGTTTCCCTTATGGATATCAAAGCAAAACTGCACAAAGATCCAAGATAAGTGTTTTTGCAACGCTGCGGCGTCACGCAGAGAGACGACAGCGGAAGCGTCTAAAAATATAGACTCGTAGGAATTATTTAGCTGTACGGCTATCGTGACGAGGAAAACACGAACCGCCGAGGCGATATAAAAAAACTTTCTGAAAAAACGAAAACATCCATAAATGACGGCACCTTTGAATGAGTCCATCAAGCATAAACATCGACCCGTTCGACGAGTTTTCCTATTTCTCATGCTTCTTCATGCAATGACGGATCTACGCGCCTGCTGAAAACTCATTACAGGAAGCAAAAACAACAACGTAGTTTTCAAACACAAAGAAAAAACAAACACGGTTTACGCTTTTATTCGGATCAAAATCACCGAGAGCTTTCTAAAATGCAGTGAGGATCTTAGTATATTCTCGCATTGCGATTGGCTCTTCAGCCTTGTTATCGGCTAATGCCGCAATCTGATTGGTTGCGGAGCGGTAATGAGATGTCTTGCCACGCCCCGCGTTTGTTAATATAGAATAGAGTAGAATGGAATAGAATAGATTTATTTGCAATATACATCTTCTGCTACAGTAGAATAACGGGCCTCAGGGGCTTTCGCGCCTAGCTCGGGAGCTGGCAAAAATTTAGTAAATTTAAAATTATACGTGCATATGCAAACGCGTTTACATTCGAAGTAACATAGTGATATTTTAGATAGATCACGAACAAACAAAGCAAAACAATCAAAAGCACGCAGTATATTAGATCCTAAAAGATTAGTGAGGACAATACAAAATAAAGTACATGAAAAAAATCTCACTGCCTTAAATGCTTTAACAATTTCCTGAGCTTTTGTTTAGAAGTTATAAAAAAAAGTCCGGGAGGTCATTAAAAAGATGGTGCGCAAAATACATGCGCACACCGTCACCATATTTCGTTGTGATTCGCGGAACATCCTATCGTATAGAAGGTCTGAGTGGCCGCTGTATACAGCGTGCTTCGTTCTAAAATCAGAATTCCAAAAATGTTTAAATCCGACCACTTATTTAGAAAGGCCCAAAAATGATGGTACATGAAGTGCGCAAAAGATACATCTACTTGGAATTCCAGGTCGATCAAACGCCATGCTTTCAAAATACTTTTTCTGGTACGCCAAAACAAAGAACAACCAGAAAAAATAGCTATGCCATAATGTAGATAACCACAAGCCAGAGCTTGTACTAACACTTTTCTAAAAAACGAACGGCATAAACATTTTTCTATTGTACAGACAGCTTAAAATGCTCCTTAATTTTTTACATAAATATGTCATGTGGGCGCACCAAGACAAATCACTTTCGAAGTGTATGATTAGATACTTTACCGAATTCACATACTTAATGGGGCTATATTTACGCTCTCTACAGCCGGAGGCGGGCAACACTCTTGGATGTGAAAGTTCAACCTGTTTGAAAGTACGTTTAAAGCAAATAAGTTTTTTTTTTAGGCGTTTACTTCTTTGAAGTTAGGATTCAACCACTCCATCACGAGAATGAGAATGTTTTGTAGATGTTGAACAGCAACCTGATACTTTTCATGACAAGATAGCAAAACCGTGTCATCTGCGTATTGGAATATCCTGCATGATGAAATAACATTACAGATCTCATTTACGTATGAATTAAAGAGCAAAGGTGACAACACTGACCCTGCGTAACCTCAGCCGTTGAGACAGTTCTATCCCTCTTACAATCTTTAAATGCGACAACTTGGGATAGTCCTGATATAGATCCTTCTAAATGTGACGAAACTGGACCCCTAAAACCCAGTCTTATTGCTTGGTACAAAAATAATTTTATGATTAATGATGCCAAAAGTTTTTGAAACATCCAAGAACACCGCACACTTGAACATAGTAATATCAAAACCGACGTTCAAGTCAGCATAATTTTTTTTTAAATAAACCCTGGATTCCTTCTTTCGATATAAAACCTTATTGATGACTAGATAATATACAAAAGCGGTCTGCGAAACTAGCCACTGTTCTCAAGGGGTGATTTCCAAATATTTCTGCGAGACATGACAAAATAAATATGTTGATTGTTTTTTTTAGTCGTCTGTTGCTCTAGCTTCCCTTGTACAGCGGCTTTGCAATAGCCGTTTTCATTCCCATTGGCCAGTTTCCAGACTCAATTACACAATTCATCATTCCTAGAAGTATATGTTTGAATTTAGGTCCCTAGATAAAAGCGTCTTACAAGTAGCGACATTCTTTGAAGCGCCGACTGCGTGACGGTGCAGCTTCTAGGAAGCGAGTGGCCGCGCACAGCAGTGGTTTGAGCTGAATGCCGCCATTTTGTTCCAGCGTAATCTGCTTTGTCATTTGTATTGGTATTAGTTCCTTGAAAGAGAAGTATCAAGGGACTTTATATTGAATGCCTCGAAATTGCTTCGCATGAATCCCATCAAAACCTGGACACTTTTTTTCTTTGAATGAGAATAAATAATCCCGCAAGTCACGTTCTGATAACCATGAAAGAAAAGCGGAAGCTTTATTATATTTGAGTAGTGAAATATCTTGGTCATCCCCATGCTGAATGGCACCGGAAGTACAAAAAAAAAAAGCATTAAGATCATCAAATCTTGTCTGCATTACAGGCAAAAAACAAATTCTGTCGTATTATTAATAGTACGCGTTTTTTTCCGATCCCCCTCGAATTCCATTGGTTAACTCCCATGTTTTTGCTGTGTGAACACGGTTATTACCAAATTGGGCTTTTTAGTATCTCCTCTTAGAAAAAAGTATTAATGTGTTCGCTTTATTCATCGCAATTTTAAATTCATCCTTGGGGGCTGTATTGCTTGTGAAACGTCTGCACAATTCCAGAGAAAATCTTTACAGTTTATTGCCGAAAACATCTCTCACATTAGCCATACGTATGCCGGCTTACGTCTTTTAATGGTAACCCTTTTTTTAGGCATTGAGGCTGTCGCTGTCCGACAGCTTGTTGGTCAGCGATAAGCTGTAAGACAGCGACAGCTTGTCGCTGTCGCTGTCTGACTTTCTGACAGCTTGTCGGAGACAAGCTCTCGGAAAGTCTAGACCTCTCTCACAAAGGCGCCGCCATCTTGAAATATTGTCACTTCCAGTATGAGCGAAAATATTGTTTTGCCGTCGCCACGCCACGCCAACCGCCAATAATTCTCATCTTGTCTCCTCTCTATTTTTGTACTATTTACAGGTTGAATTATTATTTTTATTTTTTTGTCGCGCACGCTAGATATGGCTATTTTTCCACTGGGGACGAAAGTAAGCAAAAAAGGTCTATAATAAAATGGCAAAAAATCATCACAGATTATGCGATATATTTTATTACTTTTTTCTATGATGAGTTTTTATCAGTTGCACGTTACATATGAAAACAGCACATCTCCTTCCAGAGAATCTCTTATGCCCGTTTGTCCTCATGCCGACTATAATGGCCTCAAAACAATTAAGTTGGTTGTGGCACCTCGCGCCATCTAGCTCAGAACGTTTTCAACCCTGGGAATGCCCTCTCGTTGGCGTGCTTGCTCGTGGGGCTGTTCAGGCATCATTTTAAAGGTGTTAATTTGAGCGTTTTTGGCATTTTGTTCTCAACAGTGCTCTCAGCTGTCGGAGGCGAGCAAGCGACAAAGTTGTAGGTACTGCTCAGTAGCGGATTGGTCGCCCCCTAAAAGCTTAGCAGGCGTAAATATCTACATGTTCCAGTCGAAGTTGCGGGAAATACAACACCGCCAGAGATTATTAGATGACTATAAAACGTGAGAAATAAACATTTTGTTCACATGACTCAAGGTGGATTTCTAAATGTGCTATTTGACTCATTTCTTTTTTATTTAATGCTCTCGACGCGCATCAGATCAGTCTCTTGATATCCTCAGTGCTTTCTTCCCTGCAGACACGTATTATTCAAACCCCGTTTTGCGGACGTTTTGTGGACGTTTGAGCGTAGTTACAGGGGTGAGCGTTTCCTCCTGTTCGCCATGCGAAGAGAGGTTTGTCTTTTGCGAGTTTAACGTGCTCACGTAGCTGCCCAAGATGGCTTCCCTACTTCGACCCATGTGTGGTTCTACCTTCGTCCACGCTGCAAAAAAATAGCTCCCTCAAGAAATAAAACTATACGCACAATAAAAGGTTATCCATGAGGCCTTTATTTGCTTGCTATGTAAAAGAGCATACTCGATCGACGAGAACGAGCATAACCTTCCAACGACCAACTGCGTACGACACCGTCCAAACTGCAGCCAGCTTGGACGAAAAACATGTTCATTGGACACCACAGTCGTCTTCAGCACAACGACAAGAAGGTTGATGAAATAATTCCTGCAGAAGGGGAACAAGGGACCTGTCCATTACAGGTGGAGCGCTCTGCCAACTGAGCTAACCAGGGGTTCGACGTCTGTAGAGCAAACGGGCTTTATCAGCCGCCACCAGTCTAACACGAACAAGGGTGAAGCTTGCAAGAGTGAAGTGAAGCTTTAATTGCATTATAGTCATAACCTTAAATTTGCAAGCTTCACCCTTGTTGGTGTTAGACTGGTGGCGGCTGATAAAACCCGTTTGCTCTACTGACGTCGAGCCCCTGGTGAGCTCAGTTGGCAGAGCGCTCCACCTGTAATGGAGAGGTCCCGAGTTCGATACCCAGACCAGGCGGATTTTTTCGGTCGCGCACCAGTCACCTAGCTGTGTTTGGAGATTTCTGTTTGTCCTTTGCCCTCTTGTTCCCCTTCTCCAGGGATTATTTTCAACATTCTTGTCCAGCTCGCTTTCACCTTTGCATTTAATTGCATTGTACACAAGAAGGTTGATCCACAAAATGAAGTAAGCTATTCATGCGAGAAAGGTTCTCTTAAAAAAAATTGTAGTGGGGTCATTGAGGGCAAAGAGCTCTTAGTTGCGTAAAAAGCGATATCTTCGCTTTCATGCTTTTAAGAAGTGAGCAAAAAACAAGAAAATGCCCTTGTCTATTTGGTTTACTGAAATTCGTCCGTAATATTTGAACGTTAAGTTTTGTTCTGCTAGTTCCCGCAGTTGTCTCAACCTGTCAAGGAAAGCAGCTACTAAAACTCAGTAATGCTAGAGCCATACCACACCCCTACCGATTTTTCTATTTAGCGTTTGAAACATCTAGAAAACAGTTGTTAATGTTGTGCGACATCACAACGCTCGAAGTAGGTAACAAAAACGTCATCCCGCAAGCGTATACCGGCGGCCCGGCCGATTTTAACCTCATCAGTGTGCGTCATTTCGCCACGGTGGCGCTGATGATCAACCGAACGAAACAAACGCAGTCTGAGTTGTGACATTAAAGGGATACTGAACCAAAATTTCGAGCACACAAAAACAAGACTGGACGGATAGGCAAGACGTTGTAAAGCCCAAAAACATCACTCATACAGCGATATCTCTAATGGATCGCCGTATTTTTGTAAAAAACGTGTGGCTGAACACGGCCGGCACCTCACGATTCCCATTACCTGTCCTCCTCACTACGTTCCGTCGAGCTGGTGAAACAAAGCGAGGAGGAGAGAAGCGAGGCCGCTTCCCCTCATTCTCAAGTTCTGCCGGAGGACAATTACGTCAAAGACCTCGCTTGATCGCGCCCTTCTTTTACAAAAGTACGACCATCCGTTTGGAATATCGATGTATGAATGATGTTTTTGAGTTCGCAGTGTCCCGTTGAACGCTTCTGCGGCCTTATTTTGCGAAATGCGCACTTCACTTCAATATCCCTTTAAGCGATGCAAAACGTCACGCTTGCATTGCTTAATGTCACAACTGAGACTGCGTTTTTTGGACTAAACATATGTTTCGTCATCTTAATTTGGTGAGCGGTCTCCGTAAGCTGCGGCGATTGACTCTCCGAGTGTTGTGCGAGAAAGTAGACGCACTGATTATTTTTAGAGTGCTCCTTAGAAGAAAAGCGCACATTCGGGTCGAGCAGTGAGTGAATGACCCTAATTCCAATGGCATTCCCAGGACTCGTTCAGGCCCCTTCCCTCTCTAAATCTTCCAACGCTCGATCTAGAAACTTTCTTCCTACCAAACAAGCTTGCAGGGGTGCTCGAGGGGGATCGGTTTATTAATGAATATAGAGAATAGACTTTTTTCTTAATTACCAAAGCACCAAAGAGCATGCTGCGAGTGTAGTTACACGGGCTGCACGTGTTGGCGTCTGTAGTAGGCATTAGTAACTGCTCTGAAGCAAAAGCCTCAATGAATTTTATCTTGCACGCGCGTTCGTTAACACCTTATTTTGGTTATTTATTTCTCATCTTTTATATAAGGAAGGTGAGTGCGTGCGGCGCGTATACTTACCTTCCCGGCATTCTCCTTGATGCTTGGGTAATTTAATAATAGGTCTATTGTTGACAAGTTGCAGCTAAAATAATATCCTAAAAATATTGCAAAAAAAACCTAACATTTTTAAATTACAAAAAATAGACCTTATCGAGCCCAAGTGGGTCAGCGTATATTCTTTATAAAAATGCTTCATGTACCAATCGCAGAATTTGCGATTTCGCTACTCCGTAGCTTCCTAAAGCAAAATTGATGTTTGTCTTGTCTCGTTCACACAGTGTTGGCTTCTGCGTGAATCTTATTCGATGCCAAACCTCCTTGCTTGGTAACTTTCCTCTGCTGCACACGGTGGTCCTGTGTGCAACTGGAATTCAATCTGAGCTGTCCGCTATCGCTTGAGAGGAAACGTAGACGACTCTTGCCTCCAAGACTAGAACAAAAACAAACACGCATTTCGTAGCGTGAGCTACACTGGCCGAGGTTCAGCAGTTTCGCGTGGCTCCTGGAGAGCCATGCTGCGCATGCGCGAGGAGCAGTGACGTCACACGGCGCGTGGCGGCGCCGGAGCCGCCGCCGCCACGCGCTCCGCCGCCGCCGCGCGCGCCTCGCCGGTTTGCGCATTTCAGAGGAGTGACGTCATAGCCGCGGCAGACGCACTGGCGCAGCCGCGTGCCCAGCTGTGCGCTTCCGTTGCGCAGTAGCCAAGTCTGATACTGCATCGGAGCCGCTTGATAGCGCCTCTCCTTTTTTAAAAGCTTTTTCGCTCGGTCGTACCACGCAACAAAGTCGCAATAATCACTTGACTTCCAGAAGTGATCGGAAAAGTAGGGGTTACTTTTGAAAGTTACGTTTAAATGCTTTTGGGGAAGAGTAACTAAATAAATCTATCGACTAGTTTTCGTTCGGTGTATGTGTGTAATTGCAATTATAATCGATTTTATTTACGGTGGCGAGAACAAGAATGACCCTGGCAGACAATCGTCTCGAAGACATTGACCAAATACTTGACGGAAATGATTTGCATTCATGAATATAAATATTTAAAAAAGCAGAAAATAGACGAGACACGGTCAGGGAAACATATAAGACAGGTGCAATGCTGTGTGTTTCTCCTATTTTGTCCTGTAAATTTTGCGTTCTTTTGTTATGTCCATTGTCTATTTAATAGGCCATAAATCCCCTGTCTTACAGTACTGTACACGAATGCGAGTTGATGGGAACTGCTCAAAGTGACAATTAGAATACTTGCATACAGAGTTTGATAAACGTATTAAAACAACCTGCCTATATGACGGGACCGGGAGAGTTGATGTTTGAACTCCTGGTCACCTCGTTGCAACTTCTGCACAGGTACAAACAAATGGGAGTACAACATGTCACCATATACGCAACTTCAATACACGAAATAGTTTGAGCGAACCATGTTGAGCGAGGTCAGCTTGTATACATTATATCAGCTTCTGGGAGATTTAATTTAGCCATGGGCAGATGTGAGCACGTGTTTAGAAGATACTATTTCCGCGATAACATAATATTTGATGATATAATGTAGTAAAATACAACTCGGTGTGTATCAATATTGTAAGCTTTATATTTGATTATTGCGTAAAAAAGGATAAAAGATTCTTGAAAGCACAAATTAATCGTTCCGGTAGTGTTTAGTGTTATGGTGCCTAGAACACGGATCTGGCCTGGGCGTTTGAGGGACCTATTTGTGGTCCCTCAATTTCCGCCTGGTAACGTCTTAAATGTGTCCGGCTTTCACCGGCCGCAATCCTGGCGGTGTCACAACTCAGTCATAGTGGACGTGGCAGACGTCTATTTTGCTGTCGGTCGCTCTCCAGTTCGACACACGGAAGCTTCGACAGTCAGAAGTTAGCGCGCCTCGGCGTCAGCGGCATTTGCGTTCTCATGCGCTTTTTCTACAAAACTTCTACTTCCAACCGCCTGGATTAGGACATCTGAGGGCATGGCCCTCCGTCTTTTGGAACGTCATTTGTTGTCACTTCAGAGCTATACCTTTGATGCATACGGGTGGAATAGGACGCTAACCAGTCAATCGGAGACCCGTTCCGCCCCCCCTTGTTTGTACGGAATACTGCCAATTACCTAATGTGTATTGTACCCGCGACGTCCGAATTCACATTTGGTGCTCAGCTTAACGTGTTTCTTATCGCTCGCAGTGAGAACCACTTGACGGCGTTTCCGGAGGGACTCGGCGACGATCTGCCGGCTCTGCGTTTCGTCAACGTCGAGGACAACCGAATCACAACCCTGGAAGAGAAGGACATCGCTCCTTTGCACAAGGACTCCGTCCTTGTCCGGATGATTGGTGAGACTCTTTGATCATCCATGCTGTCGCAAGAGCGCCCTTTTTATAGCACCCAGATAAGGTTACACGGAAGACTGTGACCGTAACCGGACTAAAACGGGCCTGACTCGAACTAGGAGAGCGCGCGAGAGCATAGCTTAGTAGACTGCCTTACTTTTAAAAGCGTCGAGATAAACACTCTTCAAGTAATGCCTTCACGATTTGTCTCTCAGAAGAATGTCCACAAGTGCGGATGCTAACTTTATTCTCAAAAATGAATCCAGTTACTTCAGACGAATCAAAATTGATACAAGTGAACTTAGGCAAACGTATACTTAATATAAAAAATAACGAGGTTAGATTGCCCGATAAGAGGAAATAGCACAATGTATACACTTAGAAAAAAGTAGTTAAAGGATAGTAACTGCCACAGTTACTACCTCTCTATGTTCATTCTACCTTTTTATTCGATGTTTCACTTTAAATACGCAGCAAACAGTAAATGCGGTTCTTACTTGCCAAGAGTGTCGGGATAATCATACGTTACTTTCTGTGTAGCTATGCATCAAAGCTATGGGCGCATGAGCGCTCGAGCACTTTGAACATTGATCAAAGCTGTACACAAGCACCCTTCACCTCTAAAATGACTCAATTTGCGTCACCTGTTTCTCCTCCTAATTTCACTGCTTCGTTTTTGGACCCTTAGGCGCTGTGGATATTTGATTCACTCGAGATGGCTGACGATCACGATCCTGCCGCCTCGGCTTTCTGTTCCAACCGCTGGGTTCCGTCGAATTTGCTGAAGTCACTGCTGCAAAACTATGTGGAGAAGCGAAACCATGGGATATGAAGTGCAGAGGCGCAGGCAATTGTATCAACTGTCGCAAATAACTACAGCTTGAACAGTTTCCTTTTGACAACAAATTCATCCTTCATGCCATTTCAAAATCAATTTTGACGAAAGATGCTAGTCAGAAACAAGCAACATTCCTGAAAAACTATTTATCTCTAACGTGATAACTGAGGAAAGGCGTGCCCTAAAAATGACGGGTATAAAAGGTGGAAGAGAAATCGACGGAGTTAGTGATAGGTGCAGCGTGCGTTCACGGTATTGCTTTCGTGTGCTCCGTTTGTGAATATGACGCCTTTGACCGATTGATGACGGGCGTAATGCATGGAGGTAGGAAGCTTCTGGAGGCGACATGGCGCCACCAGAGGGTAAGCCCGAGGGATACTTTCTTTTGGTATGGGCACGCCCCCAACAATAACCAAAAAAAAAAGCTATTGGAGGGAAATGGTAGCTGATTTGGCGCCAAAAGCTTTTTTGGCCACCCTTAGGGGCGCTCCCACCTACCACAACCTCTACTTCCGACTTCAACTGAAATTCGCTCATTTGGCTGGCTTGAGCCGGTATGTCACCTCCTGTTCTTCCTAGCTTCGTCGTCTAATGTGTGCGCAATATAGAGTGTAGAAGATGCAATGCTAAGCACGGGAACAATGCAAATATATTTAAGACCTTTGAATTGTGCGATAGCTAACGTCATATAGCTTGAGTTGAGGGCAGCTTGTTATTTTGCGGCAGTTAGTATTAATTTCTAAATCAATCTAGTAATCCATGCTAGGTTGTTTGGATGAGGCTAGTTCCCGTTAACAACTACCTAGGTTAGTAATTGTTACGGACACATTCGTTGCGAAGTCCAGTTTCTAAGAGAATAGCAACATATGTGACAAGCAGTTACTAACCTGTGGTTTGATAAGTACTGCTACTTTTCTTTCTAAGAGTCTAAAGGTCACGGGTGCTGTGATTTTTGAACCTCTGTTTAGTTTTAATGGCACGACAAACATAGGGGTACAGTGACATTTCTGTTCTTCATACCACTGACAGTACACATGAAGGCAGTAAGGCAGTGAAAATATTTGGTAGAGAATCTCAATTCCTTAAAAGTAACTAAATGAACAAGATTAAAAGCTAATAACAAAATGCATCTAAGCTGCAGTAAGTTATTCATATAGATATATTTTTAACTTTCTGGGTAAATAGCTACTGATACTTCAACTAACAATAGCTACCTAAATACTTGCGACTCGTTAAATACATCCTTGGAACACAAATCTCTAAATGGTCTACTTTTGGTGTGTTTTTTTTATCAATATAACTATGTAGGCGTGTAATATAAAATTAAACACTACTTTGAAACGTTTTAAATCGGCGTGGGCGTATTCAGGTGATTTTATGTTGAAATCGTTTTTCCAGACACCTGAAGCTAATATGTTTAATGATTGCCGATGTCAATGCCCGCCGCAACTTAAGTGGTCATTTGGCTGGCAGTACATTCCAACTGGCAAGACAGCGATGTCGTCAGCCGTCTGCCTTAAATTCCGTTACACAAAATATTTAAATATGGAGGACAGTGAATACTGTCCTCAACATTTGGTGGGGATCTAGCTGCTAATCCTGCAAAGTGCAAAAGGATCGCTCCTGCGGGAAACCCACTCGGCGTATTTTCAGCATATACGTCGTGCACGAAGTGCTATGTCCAGATTAGACCGTAAAGGAATCTATCAATCGACTACGTGAGTGAGAATTACTTGAAGAGAGATTTGGGACTGAATCGTATTCCCCCACTGGGCGCTTTGATGGTACACACAAAGATCTTTTCTAAATATAAGACTGTAAAAACTCTGTTCCAGGCACTTGCATTCATGACTACACCCTTCCAGCACCCTTATTGCAAGCGATACAACTATTTTAATTGTCGTTCGGAACACCCCTCATACCTCGAAGGGTGTGAAATGCGTGTCACGAAAGACGGTAAAATGAGGCAAAACCCATTTCTGTATGGTATTCGTCCTTCAAGTACAGGTTTAGCGGAGGACGTTTTAGCGACTATGTCGGACAAGTATTACATTTACTAATTATTTTTACTTGATGATACATTCCTTGACCATAGATATGTCACGCTTTAGGTGAAATATTGACGCGAACAAAGCAACATACTTGTAACTTTTCTTATTGGCTGCGAAATATTGTTTTTGAATAGTAGAGTCTCTGCGGCGTTGGAGCAGTCAGCAGTGTCGAGAGTCCTTTTCCGAGCTTGCTTTACTGCGTCCGTATTTGCCTTTCTGAGCATGAGAACTGCATGTAATGGCCATTGCTTAAAAATGTGTAACTCATAAAAATATCACTAAAGGTATACTAGGATGGCCAGCATCTTACAATTCGTGCGTTCATTAGCAGTATAAGGGTGCTGTTATAACACTCTTAGGATGCTAGCCATGGGACAAGCTGATTTACACTTCTAAGGGTATATCATTTTTAGTGGCTACCTTGTCAATATCTCCCAAGAAATATAGTTGAGTGCAGTTTGTTTTCTGAGTGCTTACTGACATTTGGTACCAGCTTATAGTGCACTCAAAGGCGGCGTTGGTACAAACATTTATAAAAAATTTATTACTCCCTAAAACTGTTACGGAACTTCGCCACTGATTCGCTTGGGTACCCGGTAGGAAATATTGGTGAATGAGGTTTTTTTTTCAACTTTTGGCTTATCCTTAAAACGTCGCAATGCATCGAGTTTGCGGATGCATTTCAGAACCGTCAAAGGACCAACAATGAGTTTGCTCTAAACAGGAATGTTCCTCTCTAAAACTGCCCTCATGGAGAACTCGACTGAAACCGTGAAAGACAAAGGTGGCTTCTAGTGTTGAAGGTGTGATCGTAACTGGAGTCACCTTTACGTCCCGCCTTTCAGGAAACCCAATGCATTGCGATTGCAAGCTTTGGTTCCTCCTGGACTACACAGACAGGTGGCACTACTTCCTGTGCCGCTCTCCCGAGCCGCACTTCAATAGCTACATCAAGATGCTCACCGAGGCTGACTTGCCGTGCGTCGACAACCCGCCTGCCACGACTCAGGCCCCCGGAGCCCCTTCGCCCGCATCGCCGTAACTGACGTTCGTCATCGACGACTGCGCCGAGAGCAATTTTCCTCAGCCGCAGGAACAACGAACAGTTAAAAAACAGGGACTCGCAATTCAGCCTAAATTAAAGAAGGCACAACCTGACTTAGGAAGCAAAGGCGATGGGATTGCAAGTCAAATTTGTGGTCTTCAGTCAAAAGATTCTTAGATGAGTTCTTTTTTACAGAGACATTCTATTTCGAGCTAAAATTGGTTCATAAAAATACATTTATTGGCTTGCGTGTGTTTAGGTCGTGATATCAGGATTTCAGCTCTATCTGCAATTTTAATTTTGAAGCTATGCCACGATATGATTTTTGGCAAAAATGTGAATCTATGCAACAAAATTATAACTAGAGTTTTGTATTTTATGATGAATCGGATAAAATTTAAAATACATTCGCGGCTAAAATTTTCTATAATTCGGATTCCGCAAAACTTCTAATTTTGAGGTCCCGATGGCAAAATAAAACGCAAGAAAGACAATATTTTACGAATAAAGTTCGCCAGAGCGCAGGGCTAGCGTCCCTAAGAAAATGCCAATTCAGTTTTCTTTTTTAAACTATTGACAAGAGGAAGGAGGCGTTGTATTTACATAAAAGTTATAGATGTGAACTTGTAGATAGCACATGATGGGAAGGGCAGTTGAAGGTTTTATGCGTCCAGGAGTTTGGCTATTCAAATGTACCGATGTTTATTGAAGTAGATTTGTTTTCACGATTTGTCGTGGAACAATTAGTACTGCACATCGCCGGAATGCCAATACCAAATCTAGCTGCATAAATTAGGTACCTGGGATCTTTTTTTATGAATATAGCGTGCAATTTTGTCCATACATTACTTAATCTTAAAAAAAGTAAGAACATAGTAATATTAAACTCCAAATTTCAAAGAATTGGAAATCTAAAAAAATATACATCAATAACTTCCAGAAAAAAAAACTTCAGAAAGTTTTTGTTTCTTAATTTGACATTAATTAAGTTTGAAAGCAAAGAATCCTAAATATTACTCAGGCTCTCTGCGTTCCTGAATTGCAACAGCAATGTTTATTTCAGACGATTCGTGTCATTTCTGCGTGTATGTGTAATACATTTGAACTAGATCTGCAAATTAGGATCTGATGTACTCATGGATGCGGCAAGCTTCAACAAGAACTACACTTTGTCGCTTTCTGAATATGTTTAGCTGTTCTAAGATTTCTCTCTTTTCCTGTATAAATTTGCACATTGTTGCTTTGGAAAGAGCAGCGCGTGTTTTATAGTTCCTTTCTTTTGTGTGAATTCGCGTGGCGTGTGCTGTCAAAATATGTAAAAAAAAATACGTTGGCTTCACTTAGTAAAAATACTTGTTTATGTCACAATTAAATATATGACATAAAAGGGACTAAAATAAAATTCATTAAACAATTACATTTCGGTGCTCTCTTTTCTTTCGTCCTTTATGTCAGACATCCCTCATGGTTCATTGCGATGTGAAACCAAAGACGTAGATAGCGTCGCACATCGAGATATTCCCGACTCTTGATGTTCAAAGAGAAGCTAAAAAAGTTATCGAGAAAAGAAAAAAAAAAAAAAAAGCCTAAGAGGTGTATACCAGCTTATCAGCTTATTTTGGTCCCGGGAATCTGAAGATCACAGGCATTAGCCGCTGGGTGTGACGCCATACCCAGAGGTTTAAAATGCCGTCCGCGTACCGCTTGTGAGGGATCACGTGCAGTGCCTTCGACAGCGCGGGTAAGGTTGCGGAAGACGCGGAAGCATTGCGATCTCTTCATAATACGACACGGTTCTCTCTTCTCACCGAACGTGCCGGGAAGTAGATAAGAAAACCTGAGTGTTTTCCTGCGCCACTAAAGAAAGCCAGCGTATTATATGCCAAAGAATGGACACGACTTCGGCATCAGCGTTTGGAAAGGAGTCGTGTTCTCACTGACTAGACACGAGTTTCAGCCGAACGCAGACGCTGCACCCGTGTTCAATCTCTGACCTACGGTGACCTTTCGCGACGAAAGAAAATTCAGCACTGCAACAGCGCTACTTGGAAAGCGCTGTTGTGGTTATTTGGCGTGTCAACCTGAGATATAATGTTGATATTCGCGATTCCGGAGCTCGGACAAAGACGGTTTAAATGTGTTTCTTTTTTTTTTTTTCCTAAAATACAAAATCGCTTTAGTTTCCCTTTAAGTAGGCTCAATATCAATAAAAACGAGGCATTACAGAAATAAGGGAGATTGCGCGCCAGCTGCTGAGCGATCGTACTGAAAAATCCCGTCGAAGAGAGGACACAAAAAAGGGGATAAGGGCAGCGCCCTCTCAAGACACAGCCGCAAATATCATTTTCAGACATCTTTATTCTACAGACACAAACACACCGTCGACGTAACAAAAATCGCCAACTTTCAAATAAGGCACACCGACACGCCGAACAAAAGCAGAAACATCCCACCCCCCTACAGTAGACCCCAAAAGTCGTATAGGCAAAATTTGTTTTTTACGAACACACACGCGAATCGATGTCAAAAGGTGGGCTCCGGACATCGCCAGCGAGTGACCAAAACGCTAGCCTGTCCTTCCTCCTCTTGCGGCCAAATTTATGCCTTGAAAAGAAATAATCCCAAAGTCCTCACGGCAGAGAAGTTCACCCGAGACCTGAATACTAATTTTACCCGTTGTGTACTCACCTGCCTGCAAGTTATTTTCTCATAGTCCCTGATCTACGCTTGTATCGCACCAAATCTCGAAACTGCCGGCCGGGCCAAAGCATCGTATGCGGCGCTCTTCCTGTCGGAATTAACGTAACAAGAAAAAAAAAAAGTGCTTTCTTTTTCCGTTTTACTTAACGACGGACTACAGAGGATGCCATGAGCTATCAAAGCCAATCCAATGTCACGTGAGAATCACGTGGCCTTCGGGAAGGACGCAGCAACGTGTGTTGTACGTTGTAACGTGATAAATTCGCAACCTCTGACTGTCTCTAACCGCTGATAGCGTCTGCTGTAGTCCATCGCAATCGTGAGGCGAAACGGAGGATACTCAAATCGGGGTGAATAATAAACATCCATGCATTATGACTTACATCATACTTTAAGTTCTAACTGAAGCCCGAACGATTTAACCGTACTGATCTAAATCGGACACTTTCCCTTCCAAATAACTTCTAACAATATTTCTTTTCATTTACCGTTTGTTTAGGATTTCACGCTTTCCATTGGCCTGTATTCTGTAGTTAAGGCAAATTATGATGAAGGGGGAAAAAAAGATTTACATCAGGCGGTCATTTTTGAAAACGCATCTGGTTATGAATCTTTTCTTTCGAGCTGAAGGGATCGAAATGAAGTAAATGTAATTTAAATCAAATAAATCCCAAGTAAATTATATAATCTTCGCTCAAATTATATATGTCTGATTTAAATCCAATACATTCGATTAAAATAAAATAAGTCTGACTCAAAATTATATACATTTGCTATGTATGGTATATAAGTTGAATTTAAATAAAATAACATTCATTTCTAAGAAAAACAAACTGATTATTTTTCAACAAATTAATTTGGTGGTTAAAAAAAAAAAGAAAATAGAAGCCACGATATTTTCCCACCCTGATTTGGAGAGAGGTCAAGAGTGGGAGCATCGCCTGACTATCGACGGAGCGTCCCAGACAGCGCATCCGTCCGAGCCGCCCCTTCCTCGGGCATGAACTCTTATCAGGGCCTTAAAAGGAAGACGCCCAGAATGAAAGCCTCCCTGGCTGGACGCAGAGTGTCATTGATCGGAGGGGGACTCCGTCGCATACAAATGGGCTCGAAAGGTCGCTGTGGACTCAGTTTCTCCAAATATTGTACGAATGCTTAATGGGGCGGTTGACCGTGTAGTAAGTGTACTGCGGGATCCTGTAAAAGTTGCCACAATGTGTTCTACTAATTTAAAGTGTCGTTAGATTTTGATTTGGGCTGCGAATAACTTAACAACACGCGAATATATTTGCGTTATTACGACGGAACTGTCCGTATTTGAACAATTCAGTATTGAATTCCCGCTGAATGCAGTAAGAAAATATAAGTCAAAGGACTAAAAGAAAAAAAAAAACACTTGGTTGCCTTCTTTTGGTACTCGGCTTTTGGTGTTTTATTGTGAGTTTATTCAGTTCTTTTTAAGACAGGTCGCGTTTAAAGCATTTATTAGTAATTAGCTGCCAACTAGCACGTTGAGCGGCACGAATGCTATATTGACTTAAAATTTGGCGTCTTCTCAGGCTCATTGTATTAAACACTGAGAATCCGAGACTATGATAAAAAATATATATATTTGATACTTTTTGCGGTTCTTTTCTCCATGCCTTCCCATGCGAAATGAGTGAATTTATTATTTTCGCAGCATGAATCGTCTCTTTACGTCTCCAGACTACCCCCAATTTCTCGTTTAGCCGATATTCGTCAAGAATACCCGCGAGCCGACTAGTGTAGACTTTCCTAGTCTCGAACGTGTTTACCCCCGTAAGATGGCGACGCCGTAAACAGACTGATAGAATACCGAATCGGTTGGACCTGTTTACGCTGACCTTGGAAATGAACCCTGCGGGGTTACTGACTGATGCGCCAGTGGAAGAAAACCACGGCGGGCCAAACTTGTCTTTGGTTTTCTCTTTCTTTCCGCCCCGCTTCGGGCCACGTTATCCCGAGCCGGTCTTCGTTTAAAAGCTCGTGCCCTCCACACCTTCGCGAGTTCGCGGTTGATGCGACAGCGCTGCACCATGGCCTTCCTACCGAAGCTCGTCTTCTTGGCATTAGCCGTGAACTTTGCCTACGCGGAGCCGTCGTGCACCGATACCCGGGGCTTCAGGTTCAGACGGTACGTCTGCAAGGACTTCCGCAGGCCGGAAGACTTCCAGAAGTACGTCGTGAGGGGCGACGCCCAACAGGAGACCTGGTTCCAGCTGAGGGACAGTCACTTGGAACATCTGCCGTCACGGGCTTTCGCCGAGCTGAACATGGTGAAGCTGACTCTGCACAACGTTACAGTGACCACGTTTGCGGAGTCAGGTCCCGACACGAATCCTTTCTCGGGCGTCGAGGACACGCTGCGCAAGGTGGTCTTCCACGATGAGAGCACTCTCCCGGCGTCCTGGGTTCTGCTGTCCGGTTTGAAGAAGCTCGAAGAGGTCTGCGTGGACGAGTACAAGCACCTCAACTTGACCCGTGACTTCAACCACCTGCCCCAGGGAGTAAAGACGCTGTACGTGACCAAGTCGACGGTGCACCACGTGGATCCCGACTGGGTGTCGTCCCTGACCAACCTGGAGGCGCTCGTCTTCAAGAGGACCACCCTGAAGACCTTCGCTCGAAGCTGGCTGCCCCGACCGGCTCCCAGGTTTACGCTGCTCGATTTGCCGTGAGTGAACCTACTTTTGTGTCTACACCAAAGAAAACGATTCATGGCGGGAGTATTTAAAGTGCATACCACTGAGAATTTAAAGTGCATACCACTGGGCGAATGGTTTATGTTTAGCTAATATAAATACATCGGTAAAAATCACCCAGATCAGCACCTAAATTAGGCAGGCCTGATCACCTCGTTTAGAAATCCGGAAACACAAATAAAATAAAACAGAATAGCGAGGTCGCATATGTTAAAGTAACTATCCTCTGTACACAAGCGCGTGTATTCGTTTTATTTCATTTATGTTAACTCAAATGCATCTAGCAATGCACATGATTCGTTTTGTGAAATCTTTTTTAATAATTCGACATTCTCATTTATAGACATGATGTACGAGTCTTCGGAGATTGTTGTAAACTGAAACAGCAGAAATCCGTAATGCGGGGATATCTACCAAATATTACCAACAAAAAATGATATATTGCTAGAATAATTATTTTTAACTTCTATGCAGTTTTATATTTGTTATGATATTAAATATTTCATCACTGCGTATGAGTTAGGTGCATAAAACTCGAAAGGCATCGTGCATATGCCATACTTTTATTGTTTCCTTCGCGAAATAAAACAATTTAAAAGGGGCGGTTGCCGTAAGTCTCAAGGGCGTGTTTGTATATCTAGGACAGGCAGTTATGATTATTCGATGGTTACGCGAAGAGAAGTAAAGAAGTAAAGTTTTCTAATGGTTCATTGTGTTAAATGCAGAGACAACCATCTGACCACGTTCCCGGAAGGACTCGGGGACGAGCTTCCTCGACTGAGCGTCGTCAACGTTGAGAGGAACCACCTGACCACTCTGGAAGAGCGAGACCTGGGACCTCTGCAGCGCAATCAAGTCTTCGTCAGCCTGACGGGTAAGGGCCGCTACAAATAGACACGGAAACAGTGTTCACTTCCCAATACTCAATGACAGCTTTGGAAACGCGTCGCGGAACAAGTCGTGAGCATCTTACTACCACCCTGTTTTCAATAACGTTGCGACGTCGGCGGATAAGAACGTCCAAGGACAAATTACACAACGAAAAGCTTGAACATAATAGGCCTCGCTCGGCGTTCATAAACTACTAATCGCTATAATGTGGAAGCGGCATGATTTCGACCATGCGCCTTTCGTAAGATTCATATAAATAAATGTATTTATTTTCACTTCACAAGCAGCTACATCGTCAACACTAAAACGCAACATTTGTTTGTATATGCCCGTGTATACGGTGCTTAGTTATAATTCTACGGCAAAATAATCGACCATGCCGTCGCTTTGACGCACCACCGACTGTGCCGGCGTCTCAGTGGTGAAATAGTGTAAGCTGATCGGTGGTTTAAATGAAGTTAGTTAGGAACTGGAAAAGAGATATAAACGTAAACACGTCGGGAGTCAGGTCCAGTGGTCTCAATCGTTGTAAGCTGGATCGCGGATCGAGGCTTGCCTTGCTGGGAACGAGCGGCACCACCAGCAGCCATCGCTTGACACAGGCTAATGCAGGGGACTCTATGGGAGAAACGGGGAAAACAGCAATTTTGTACCTTAGTACGTTGTTATCGACAATGAAACTTTTATTGTGTTTTCCGGGAATGACAAAAAAATTGGGTTGCCTGTATGGCAGCCTAGAACTTGGCCGGCCTCCACGGGCGACGAGTCTCCCAGCTGTAGATGAGCAATTTAGCCAGTGCAGTACAACCGCTAGCCTGCGGTCTTTAACGTGCATCACGCAGTAGTGTTACACTTAATATTCTGGGCTGAAAAATCAAGAGCGTTAGAATATCTATCTTTTTTCAAATAAATGTTTCGTAGTTGAGGGTCGAGGGTTGGGATATCATCGGGCGTAAACTGTGATACGGTTCAATAAGGCGAGGGTTGCCGACAGTTAATGTGGAGTCGTTCGTGATCTCGAAGTCATCCTAACTTAGAAAACAATAAGTTAAAAGGCCTCTACTGGGGACATTCGCATCGTTTTAAGCGCTTGCACAGAGTACTTCTGGTGCACGCTTTTGCTTTGAACTGCAGTGAGGGCTTCTGTGACGAACAAAAACTCGGAGCGTTTCGTTCGTTTGCTGAACGCGCCATTTATTTAGCAACTGAAGCAAGCGACGCCGGCACAGTCGGTAATGCTCCGGCTCATTTGATTTTTTTTTAATCGGCGTTTGAATGCTTGACAAGTACTAATTCGATCTCTAAACACTCGATATAATGATCCAAGCACATCACGAAATACACGCCTTCGAGTAACGCGTACAGGCTTCAATATTTCTATTTCTGTATTTTTCTCCTATAGACTTGCGTGTATTGCCTGGTGCCAGGCGATTGCCGCCGGTAGTGCCACCAACAGACCCCCGATACGCGATCCAGCCCACTGTAATAGAGATCAGTGGTCATGCCGGATCGCTAAGCGTCGGCGTACCATAAACTGGAGCAATAAACTTGCCTCATTTGATATCATGCGAAGTTAAACTATTAAATAATTAAAATTAAATTATTAGGGCTTCCGTGCACAACCGTCTGAAATCGCATGTGTTCCTATTTTGTATGCGAATAAAAGACGGATAGCTACCTCTGGATGTCCGACGCCGACGCCTATGACCCCTCTGGAGGACAACAGTTCCAATACTTCATCCTTTTTTTTTCAGGCAACCCAATGCACTGCGACTGCAAGCTCTGGTTCCTGTTTGGGTACACCCACAGGTGGCACTACTTCAAGTGCAGCACTCCGGAAGCGCTGCACGACCGCTACTTCATGAGGCTCACCGAAGAGGGCTCTCCCTGCACCAACGCCACCTCGGTCTAAACCCTGGCGGGTTTTAGTCCCTTCATCACTTCACCGTTGGTTTAGTCCTTCGATACCGTCGGTTGGGGTCGGCACTCTTTGGGATTTATCAGGACCGAAATCGAATTGAAGAATGAACGTCATGTTTCGCTCTTCCAACTCGTCACCAAGTTTTCTAGTTAGTCACGGCTGTTGGCGTTGAAAATAAAATGCAGCAGTAAAAACTGCACTGTGTGCTTTCTACAATCAATACTTGAAGGTTGGCGGGTTTAAAACTTGACGAATTAAACATCCATTCAGATTCCAAAAAAAAAAAGAAAAAAAAGCTGAGCCGTGAAGCTTGTGTTCAAACATTCTATGATGGGTTTTCAGAACCTTTCCTAAATGTAGCAAAGCACGTTGCAGGGCAAATTAGCGTACACTTATATATACTGTTTTAAGTGTGCATGACAAGCCTCTCCCACCAAGCCCTTCACTCCTTCCACTTTAGCAGAGAAAACACTGGAGATGAGGAGAGTTCGTCCTCACCTTCTTTCCAGCGTTCGCTCTGCTAAAGTGGAAAGAGAGAAGGGAATTGTTTGAGAAGCTTGTCCTGCACTCTTAACCTGCCATTAACTAAAATAGTGCAAATGAGACAGGGACAGGATAGTAGACATGGCATGCGCTATCCTGTCTACCCTGTGTTTGCCTCTTTCGTGCCATTTTATTGATGCCTTTTCTTAGAAGGTAACGCCCATCCAAAATCCAACAAAATAAATGAGTGGTATCGATTTATGGAGACTAAATACGAGCACTGCCAAATACACCAATGGGAAACCGCGATCAACTCTGAAACCGATATTAAAAATGCTATCCTTAAGCTTATCAGCGGGCTTCAGCGGGTTGGGTGTTTGTCAAGCAACCTTGTGCCCTGATGCCAAGCTCGTACTCAAGCAGATTATTGGTTCGTACATCCACTTTCGACGTGCTTTTCTGCTGTGTTTTCAGCCGTCGTATCGGACAAGTTCTACTTGTTAGGTTATGTTATGTTCTAGCAGCCGTAGTTTGTACAAAACTTGAAAGTATAAAACAGAGAGGACGAGGACGAGAACAGGACATCTTTCATTTAGCAACAACATAGAATGGCACAACGATAAAAAAAACCCCAAGGGTCTCAGCGTTCTCAAAGAGGGAAAGGAGATACTAGTTATGAAGGAAAGGGAATACACTAAAAGAAAAGTTTGAAAAGCGCATCAGTAATCAAGTTATTTTCGATTAGTTAGAATTAACCTTGGTCATTGTCAATGATAATGCAGAATTATTCTTGTTTGCAGTCCAAAAAGGGAATTGTACTATAAATATAAGAGTCTAAAAATCTGTAGCGCCACGACGAGGTGTCAATATTCTAGTTATCTCTGGTGTTAAGAATTCGACCTCTGTCTTTGTCAATGATAATGACGGTGCAGAAATGTTGTTGTTAACAGTCCCCATGGCAAATGACTCGATGATTTCTCTCCCAAATCTGTTGTTGTGCCCTCCCAGTATCTTAGAGATTAATTGTTTTAGCGTTAATGCGAACTTTTGTGAATTTAGCGAAGACCTCGCTGCTCATCTGGCCACTATCATCAAAATAAACCCGATCCAAAAGGGTAAATCTAAAAGAATTCAATCGAATCGACGGTAGATTGCTTTACCTTTGCGATCCTTCGTGCGCAACGCGCCAAGTTCTCGGAACTCGGATGCGGAGTTTGCTTGGATCTCGTTGAACTTTCCGCTGCCATAGTGAGACCCCGTTCAAATATACGGGTGAATTTTGATGTGCTCAACAATGGTAAAGGACCAGCTGTATGTAGGATAAGCAAGAAAAGATTACCGCATTTCCACGTGGTGAATGATGCTGATTGGGGCGAAGCTTTGGTGGTGCTGATGATACTGATTTTGTTCATTAGGTAGTGCTGATGGTGCTGATATTTTTTATTGCTCATAGTTAGAGCTGAGTTCCAGGTTTCGTTTCGACTTCATTATTACTGCTTTATGGTCGGTGAAATGCAGAGCCAGTGGTTCTTTTAGTGGATTAGGTTGGATCCGCTAGAAGCCGTGGGAACGCATCTCCACTGCTTAAGTCAACGGTCCATGTCAGAAAGAGAATGTGTCGTATGGAACGTGGTTATATAAGCATTTGACCGCAGCGCCCTCTCGTCTATAAACGTTGAGCCAATGCATGCAAAGTTGAACCCGATTATATACGTATTTGACCGCAGCGCCCTCTCCTGTATAGACGTTGAGCGGCTACATGCAACGTTTCATCCATGACATCCCCAGCTCTTGAGTTACTACCACATCTCAGAGCCTCCTACTCATCCCGCAGTCGTGGCCGAGTGGTTAAGGCGATGGACTAGAAATCTATCGGGTTCTCCCCGCACAGGTTCGAATCCTGTCGACTGCGCAAACATTTTTTTTTTAATTTTTATATGAGCACGGACGGCCGGACAGACGGACGGACAAGGCTAGACCCTAAAGAGCTTCGCCCCTAATATGAGCTGCACTCGTGGTTTGCGGGGCTGCCGAGGCAGCGGAGGGAAGGATGGTGGAGGAACAGCGGGAACAGCGCCATATTACTTTAATTGTATTATTACAGTTAATTGTAATATTGTAATATTATTAATTGTAATCTCGCGTGGTGCCGGACGCTCAAAGGAAATGTCAGCGAGCGAAGCAGCTCTGCACTGCATTGTGTGCCACTGAAAGCCGTCGCTCGGCCGCTCTACAATCGAGGCCGGATGCTCCAAGTCGCAAATTTGCGAACGCTCGCTATTGGCCAGTGGAAGCGGCTATTATTTCCGGGCTTGATTTTGATCGTCTCAACTTTTCGTCAACAAATGTTTGCTGTGGCAAATTTTCCTAGATATTTTTTTTAGTGTTAAGTATTTATGACACTATATTAGTTGGGCTGTATAGCGTACTGTTTAGGTACGAATCTATAGATGTGTATAATCATTTTTTAAACCAATCATGCTTTATTAAATTTTGAAAACAAACAAACAAATGTTCTCACTCTGTGCAGCACAACATATTGAGTAAATGGAAAATGTGTGCACAAAGTTTTGTCTTCTTTTAATGACAAATGTGCATTTCTACTTGAGTCATTCCCTCCTGCTTTGGCCCCAACTGGCTGACAATATCCATAACTAAAAAAAAAAAAAAAACTTTGCTGTCCGAATTGTTACAGTATAATATTCAAATACTGCCAGCCCCAACTGGCTGGCAGTATTAATAAATAAATAATTAAATAAATAAATAAAGCATACTCTGTTGTCCGAACAGCTACCGTATACAATTTCACGAGAAACCGAAACCTGTCTATCCACATGCCGCATATCAAGACTTCGACACTTGCCGTACTTAAACATCTTACAATTTTAAAAGAATTTGCTTCTAATTTAGGTAATGACCAGGGTTCCGTTTTCTTGGGGGGTTAATTTTCTTTCGAGTTTGGGGATGTCTTTTTTGGGGGGAGAGGTTTGTTTCTTCTCGCACATTCGTGTGTTTTGTGTCAATTCTCGTTGTTTATTCAACAAGTTGGGGTTTATTGGCGCTTATGTTGAAAATATAGGTCACGGAATCAGCAACCTTGAGAGAACACGCATGTGACCACCTGGGAAACATCCACGTGCGAATAAGAGAAGGCAATAAATTAAGGGGTGCGGTTCCCAAGTAGTAGTAGTAAACAATATTTATTTGCCCAAGCACGTGTTAATGACTGAACGGAAACCCCTAGGGTCGCTCCTCCAGCCACCCCTCAGACGGCGGCCTGAACCCTCTGGGTTTTGGCGGCGTCTTCGGCCAGCTCGTTCTGCACCGAGGGATCGGAGCAGAGGAGCAGGGTTGCCCAGCTCTCCTGGTTGTCGATCTTCTCCAGTAGGTGGTGGGACTTACGGTCGATCCTGCTGCACTCCCGCACCATGTGTCGGAGGTTGGCGTGGCCGCCGCAGAGCTTGCAGTGTGGCTTGTACTTGTCGATCCCAAGAAAAAAAAAGAAAGCTTGCCTCACGGACAGGTCAGAGTATGCTATATACGAATCAACAAAAAGAAAAGCTATATAATTAAATATTTTATTCCCGCGAAACTTTGGTTTCTCTTATTTAAGAACAGCCGCCAATTTATATATATATATATATATATATATATATATATATATATATATATATATATATATATATATATATATTGATAAAACCGGCTCGGGGTTTAATTGTCAGGATTCTTCGAAATTCACCGAAAACATGGACGGCCGTGATTGGTTTTTTGTGCTTCCCATCGCAGGCCACCGTAGGAGGGAGAAGAGAACGTGTGAGCAAAGGAGGATAAGAACTGAGATGACAACTGATGGCATACTTCTTAAACCAAGGGACAAAAAAACAACACATCCTTGTATGTTGAGTGTTTACTCACCAAAAACCGAGTAAAAAGTGTTTTCATTTGTTTTGGTATAGAAACACGACAGCGGCAGTTCAAATGCTAAGGCCATCTAAATTTGACCGGTTGAGTATGTTTTAGATGTCCTGTACCAGCGCACGTTAATACATATTCTAGAGTAAACTGCAATTGTTATCATAAATGCACATAACCGGGGTTGTTGCATTAAAAAATGTCAAACATAAAATTTCGTACATTGATAGGATGGTTCCTTTTTTCTCCTCTTAAACAAATTTTCATTCAGCGCTGAGCAACCTGCCGCCGTTCAGTAATTAAAAAAATCTACTGATTTATATTGGCACGGCCTTTTGGTATGGCGCATTATTAACACTCAGTCTGCCCCAGAAATGGATCCTTAATTAGACTGACAGCTTGAAAGACGCTGGGCGTTGATTATTATGTTCACGTTTCGGGTTTTTAGAGCTCGTATAGGCTGATGCAATGATATGATGGGCTGCCGAGCGATACTAACATGATTGAGGATCACCAACCCCTGCGTTTGTTAAGCTGTCAATGACAATACGAACGCAATAAAATTGCAATTTCAGCTACTATATCTAGAAATG